TGTAGGATGACACAGGGAAACTGGCGGATGAGGGGCAAAGGAGAGGGGTTAAGGGTGACACACAGGACCTGAGGGCTGGGGGGCAGAGGGACAGGTTGAGGGGTAAAGGGAGAGGGCTTGAGGGCTGGACAGTCAAGTGGAGATCAGGGGTACAGAGTACAGCTGTACCACCCCTCCCCCCAGCCCTAAGCTCAGCCCGACCAGCCCCCTTAAAAACAGCCTTTTCCCCCAACAGCAGCACAACACAGCAACCCTAACAGCGAGACCAGACCACAACCTTCACACACCAGGTCAAAGACAGAACCCTCACAGAACAACAGACCCACTGCAAAAAGGTAAGAATGACATCTGTGGGCTAGACAGCAAGTGGTAGAGTTCGGAGACTGAGCACGCCTTTTTGAGATTTTTTTCTAGGACTTTTAAAGGTATTTAGGAGATTTTGGAAGGGACTTTTCTGGGGCTTTTCAGGGTATTGTTTGGGCTTTTTCAAAGCCATTCTATGAGTCTTTAGCATATTTTGAGGACTATGGTCAGAAACAGGGGAAACACCCTCTGAAAAGGCAGAGTTGTAGGACTGCAGTGGAATGCTTTAGAAAGGGGCCAGCGGTGGCACAGCGGGTCGGGTCCCACACTGCCAGTCCGAAGGTTGTAAGTTTTAGACCCAGTTAAGTTGTTGTGGTTAGGGTTAGATGCTCTCAGGTTTGGTCTGGGAGAACTTCTGCACAGAATAACTCACCCCCTGAGTTTCCTGATGCCAGTTTGCACTAGGAGGTGCTTGGCACTGCCAGGGCAGTCTGAGTTCTCGGTAGGGGCATCTTTGCTCCTGGAGAAATCCTGCGCCAGCCGTCTTCCCTGGAAAACCAAACTCACCCCTGCTGCGTGTCGAAGTCCATCCGCAGGAGGCACGTGGCACTGCAAGGGCAGCCAGAGTTCTTGGTGTCGGCAGCTGCGGGCTGTGAGAAATTGTTCTCTGCAGTTTTGAAAGCCGAATCGCAGTTTCTGCCATGGGCACACAGAGAGGAAAGGTTGTTAATTTCCTTAGAAAGGCAAGTCTGGCACCCCATGGTTTAAGGGGCAGACGAAGGGCTGTGTAGGGGAAGGAGCTCCTCACAGGACCTTTCTTCACCTCAACACCCACTCCAAGGTCTAGCAGCGCCCCGTGTGACCAGCTGCTTTCAGGGGGTTACCCGAGCACACCTGCACAGGGAGCTGCTAAGCCAGAGGGGCTAACAGGGGTATCCCAAGTATCTCTCCAGGAACTATGGTCGGAGCATCCAGCACGGACTAGGGAGCAGCCAGACCCACCCGGGCACAGAGCATGACTTTGAGAAAACGCCAAGGGAAGAGCCCTTTTGCCAAGGGGCAGCATCTGAGCAGGCCAGGCAGCATGTGGGGTTCCAGGAGAGGGCTTGCAACTTTCCCCTTTTACTGTGTCAGTCCCTCTCCAAAGCCCCAGACCCTCCAGAGCACTCCCAGAAAGGAGAAGGGTTATTAGGAGAAAAAGGGTTTAGAAAAAAGGGAAAAAGCTTCCTTTTCCATTACTTTTTGTGTTCAAACTGGTAGGGACTCGGATTCCCCTGCAATTTTAATGGTCTCAGTTGAAAGAATCCCTGCCTTTTCTATGCTGTTAGGGGTGTTAATTGACAGTGAGTCCCCATTTTGTATTATTTGGCCGTTTAAAAAGAAGGGGAAAATCTTGACAATGTTTCTTATGGGTTTGAATTAAGGGTAGCCACCCCCTTTTTGTTGTCCTGAGGCCCAAATTGAGGGAGAAGGCCAGCTATCCCTCCATCCTAAGGGTTTGAACTGAGGGAAAAATCCTTCTTTTTTCATCACTGGAGAGATTTAAAGTCCGGAAAGCCCCTGTTCTCTCAATATTTAAGGAGAGCAAATTAAACAGCAGAAACTATTTATTTGCCATTGTATTACCTTCAGTAGAGGTAACTGCCCCATTTCCTCTTTTTAAGGAGTTCACTGGAAGGAAGCTGTGCCTTTTTCAGCATTTTAAGGGTTTAAAACTCCATTTCAGGGCACTTCTTTCTGTGCTGTAGGACCAAGTATCTCAGAGAAGGATGAGCCTGGCATGCACTTAACCCTTACACTGCCTGGGAGGCTTTGATTTTTCTTATTTTTACTTCTAATGTAGATAGCCTAAATTAGAGGTCCCAAGGAGACTTAGACTATTCATATCATTAGTATTCTTCTCCACCCAGCTTAATCACATGGGAAGTACTACTTAGTAGCCACTGAGGAATAATTATGTAAGTTAACAGCAAATTACCCAATTTATCTAGTTATGCTGCCTAAACAGAAAGTTTTATTTCTTACCAGTTTTCTGCTCTTTTGCTCCAAGTAGTTGTTGCAAAAAAGAAAGCGCTGTTATTTTTCTGAAGAGTTTTCTCCTGTTACTCTTTACTCCCCTTGAATTCAAGTCAGAGGGGCCAAACAGCTGCAGCTCTTCTTAGGGCTTTTATACCCGGTGGGATTCACCCCTTCCCTTTTCCCGGGTGTCATGGGAACGAGAGGCGGGCACAATCAGGGGTATATTAACCCTAGCCTTGGCTGAGGGGCTTCATTCCCTCTCTGGGATGTGCTGGGGTAGGAGCTCTCCTCTCATTTCAGTGAAGAGGCTCTTTCAGCTTATCTCAGTTGCTTTTCAGCAGGTGTTTCTGGGCATCTGCAGCACAGAGGCTTGGAAAATACTGTGAAGTAAACAGCATGGAATACAGGGAGTATTTAGATTCATGATTTTGGGTTTTTGTGTTTAGGGGTGGTGAAGTGCATTTGTAATTTCTGGTTTGGTTCTTGTTTTGTTTTGTATTTTTTTTTTTAGAAGGAGTGCAGCTTCCAGAGATTCCTGGTTGCGTCAAGTACAACGCTTTTTTCAGCAGATTCATCATGTCACAACAGGGATCTGCCCAGTGTCAAGGATGATGTTTGAGATTGGGGCTTCAGGTGAGTTGAGGATTGTGACTGGGAGAGGGAGGGTTAGCAGGTATACAGTTAGGAATTATTGTGGGGGGGGGAGGTTTGCAGGCAGCAGGGTGAGAAAGGGTGTTTATTTGTTTATTTGAGGACCCCCGACACAAGGTTGTTCAGAAGCCTAGCGGAGGCATTGCCATGTCTTATAGTACACAAGGTCATCCGGTGCACTCACAGGAATGCCATTTAACTTTGCCTTTCTCTAACCTAGGTGCCACTCCTAATAAAGGCCACAGCCTTGGAATCAGGATGAAGCTGGAGCCTGAAGGAGCCAGGCACACTCAGGAGAGGGCAAGTAGCTGACTGGGATTTGGCCCACCTAACTCTGGACTCACACTTTGGTTTTGGTTTTCTTTATTGTAGCTGAGCGAGAGGCTGGCAGGCCATCACGGGGCCCTCCGAGGCAGACTCATTTCAGGTGCAACGTGGATCCACATCACCGATCATCCAAAAGATAAGTCGGGGGCCAGGGCTTGGAGATGGGAAAGTAGCAGGTTGGGAGTTCTTGGGCCACATTTAAAAATTGGCAGCGGGAAAAGCAATCTTCTGCAAGGGCCTCTTAGGACAGCTAAAGGGAGAGGCTCTACTTTTGATGGCAGCTTTCAGGCGGGCAGTGCAGAACAGCTCTGGTCTGTCTGGTGTTGTCCGGTGTGCCGTGTTCCCTGGTGTGTCTTTGGGGTCTCTTTTGCCTTCTCCCCTCGAGGCCCTCACCGCAAGCATGATGTGTCGTGTTTCATATAACCCTGTTTGTCACGTTCTGTGTCACGGGTGTCTGCACACATTGGTGCCGGAGCTGTTCTTCCCTGCCGCATGGCCTGCTGCAATAGGACAAGCCTGGGGAGTTGAAATTTTTAATGTGGGCTCTGCTTGGGCTCTAGATTCTGTTCCTAGATTGACATAAGGTGTTTGCAGCTTTTGAGTTATCGTGGTGGTGTTTGACATATGTTGTAACTTTCTTTCAGGTGCAGATGCATTCCATGTGTGGCAGAGGGTCAGGGTTAGGAGGTGCCGGGCCTTCCTAGGAGCGCGGTGAGTAGCAGAGTGGTGGGGTTTTGGCCAATGCGGTGCCAAGATCAGGCACTGATGTTTGGTTTTCTCTAATACAGCTGTCTGAGAGACACCAGCCCAGTAAGAGCAGGACCTTCCCAGCTGACGAGGTGGCCTTTCTTTGCACCTGACACAGACTGGCATCCCCAGATGTCTGAGAGATAAGTAGAGGGCTGTGACCCACAGAGGGGATGAAAGCGGGGTGCTGGTTTGGGGATAACTGGGAGGGGGTTTTGAGTCCAACTTGGAGGTGGGGGGTGTTCATGAAGTGGCCCCTTAGGCCCCATAAAAACCAAGTCTCACTTTTGATCCCAGTGCTGAGGTGTGCAGCAGGGCAGAGCAGTCCCGGTGTGTCTCGTGTCATTTGTTTCTTGTGCATTATGTGTTGTTTGTGTATCCCATGTCTTTTACCTTACGGGGGCCTGTCAGAAACCTTGGCATCATTGTTAGCCTCTGTGCTCTCTGCATTCCTTGCCTGGTGCCCAGGCCACAGAACTTTTGACTCGGGAGCTCAGACAGGTATCAGACTCTCTTCTCTCTTTGGAACATCCGGTCAGGTGTCTTGTCAGGTCTTGTTCTGAGCTGTATGGGCAGCTATGCCCCACCTGGATCCATTGTGGTGGATTAGGACTTGTAATTATATGAGGTTAGGTAGAGGATTCTGACTGTAGGAATTTCAGGCATCTGTTTGTGCTGTCCTTGGAATAAATCATTCAGTTTAGCATCTTCTTCCTCCAGGGTTCTCTGACCCTCATCAGCTCACCATCGGTCTCAGCTCGGTCATCTCCTTTTGCGTTCTCTCAGTCCTTGCAGCCATTTTCCTTGCCAAGAGATTTCTGTTCCTGTTGTGTCCCCGTTGTCTGTCCTGTCCTGTCCTGTCTGTCCTGTGTCACGGGTGTCTGCACACATTTGTGCCGGAGCTGCTCTGCCCTGCCGCATTGCCTGGTGCAATAGGAGAGGGCCCTGGGATTTGGAATGTGTAATGTGGGGTGTAGTTGTACTCTAGATGGGATTTGTAGATGGACACAGGATATCTGGAGCTCTTCAGTTATCATGCAACAGTCTGACTCTTGTCCTAACTTTTTTTTCAGATGCACCTCCTCAGATGACTGCAGTAGTTCTGTAGGTTCCTTCTTCTCAAACGGAATAGGGCTCAAGAATTCATCTTCCAGAGAATTTTTGCAAGTCCTGGCTTGTATTGTATCTGCCTATGGTGGCTTATGTTGTATGTACCTATGCATCTGTCTTCTATTGGATTTTGGGTTGAAAATTTATCAGTCCAGAGTGGGGACAAGTCCTAGCTGTCAGATAGCCACTCGTTGACCCTTCCTGTCGTCTCACAGGTCCCCGAGGCTGCTGATTTCCCCAGGATCTGCCATTTACCTCAAGGAGCGGCAGCCAGAAGATGTGTCACAGCACGTTCTTCAGCATCTCGAGTAAGGGCCGCAGCGAGCGTGTAAGTGGAAAGAGTGTGTGAGCGTGTGTGAGAGCACGTGGCTGTGTCTGTCTGTGTCTGCTCGTCTCTGCATGTGTGAGCGCATGCTGACTGGATTTAACCTTGTGTGTGTGACTTTTGCTTTCCAGGTTTTGCGACTCCTTGTTAAATTTAGAATAAAAAATCCCCAGCCGGGTTGTATTGCATGAACTGACATGGTATGTACCTATGTTGGCTTAAAACCCAGAAAAACAGATGAAGATGAGCAGGAAAAAAACAGGAAAAAAAACCATGATGGACAAGAAAAAAACCCAGAAAAAGCCCAGGATGGGCAAGAAAGAAACGAGAAAAAAACCCCAGAAAATAATCCCAGATGGGCAAGAAAAAAACCTAGAAAAAAACCCAGAAAATAACCCAAGATGGGCAAGAAAAAAAACCAGAAAAAACCCCAAGAAAAAAACCCTGAGATGGGCAAGAAAAAACCCAGAAAAAAGTCTGAAGATGGGCAAGAAAAAACCCGGAAAAAAAACCCCAAGGTGGACAGGAAATAACCCAGAAAAAAATTCCAAGAAGGGCAAGAAAAGACCCAGAAAACACCCAGAAAAAGATCGCAACCAAAGTATAAATATAGAAATGTTTTTCAAGTATATGCAGATATTTTATATTTTAAATAATTTAACAATTCTTTATATAACATAAATATAAGATATATACAGTATTACTTGTATTATGGATGGTATTGATTTATGTTTATTTCCTATAATACACTACAATATTGATATCAATTTTACATCTATCATATCTATCGTTTGTTATATGTTACACCATATTGATGTACTCTAGGTTTTTTTAATTAGTTTAAAATAAAGGGGAGTTTTGTTTTTTATTTGGCAAAAGCAGGTGTTTTAGTATAAAAATTATAAATACAAATAATATAAAGGTAGAAATCTAAGAATAGAAATAGATCATAAATAGCTAAAGGTTAATATAAAAATTAAAAATATAAGAAAAAATAAGTTGTAGCAGTAGATATGTTACATAATTTAAAAAAATTTATCTCTATTATTTGAATAGGATACATATTATTCATAATGATTAATATAATACTTAAATATAAACTATAAATATAAATGTGAATATAGTCATGCGAGCTATAAATATAAAAATACTTCAATATAGTTTAAAAGAGTAGAGCTTTTTTGTATTTATTTAGTTAGAATGGGATTTTTATTTTAAATAATGAAAGCATGATAGAAATGTAATTTTAAACATAGAAATGTACAATCAATGTGGAAAGATATTTATAAAAGCACAAAATATAAGTAAATATAAATAATAGAAATAGACAGAATATATTATTATAAATTACATGCTACATCAATGTCCACTATAGATATGCATGTGAATATAAATACGAAAAATAGAAATAAAAATTTATTTAAACATGGCTTTAAATCAAGGGGGCTTGTTTCGTTCTGGTGGGGTAAGAGACAGGTTTTTGGCATTTATTTCAGAGCAGTTTTCGGCGGGGGTCGCCCCTGTTCTTTTTTGCCGCCTTCCCTGCCCGCAGCCCCGAGGCGCGCTGCGCCCCCGGCCGGGGGGGGCGGCAGTGCTGCCGCCTTGTGGGCAGAGCGCCGTACTGCAGCTCTGTTGCTACCGGCAGCCGCCAGGCCGCCATCTTGGGAGTGGCGAGTCGCGGGTGTCGCGGACTTTTCCTTGACCTTCTCAACACGGCAGCGAGAAGGGCGGGGAAGTCGAGGGCCCGCCTCGGACTAATCGGCTGCCTGCATAAAACACCGACGCCATGGCGGCCCCGATGGATTTTTATGTGGCATTTTAAGTGTATAAGACACGGACTATGTGGTCAGCGGCCCCGTCGGCGGGCATATTTAGGCGGGTTGCTGAGAGGCATCTGCGTAAAGCCCTATTTCTTCCGAGGGTCCCCCTCGGCCGCCATCTTGGGAAGGGCGCGTCGCAAATGTCGCGGACTTTTTTTGACCTTCTCAAGATGGCGGCGAAATGGGCGGGCAACTCGCACACCCCGATAAATCTCCTCCCCCTGTGGCCACAGAGCGGGACCGCACCCCCCTGAGCCAGAGCCCTGCCCCTCGCCGCTGAGTGCCGGGGGCGGGGCAAGGACGCGGCTGCCGAGCGAGGGAAGGGCGAGGGGCGGGAGCCAGCGGCGGTCGGGCCAGGGTCTGTAAATGGCGGGGACGGGTGAAGGACATTCGGTCATGCAAAGGGATGCGATGGCCGAGAAGAACGGCCGCGGCGGGGGCGGCCGGGCGGGGCCGGTTTCGGCGGGCGGCGGAGGCGCGGTCGCAGCGCACCGCGGGCCGGGGCAGCGGCCGAGGGCGGGCGAGCGGCGTCGGAACAGGGCGGCAGCCCCCGAGCCCGCGCCCGCCCCGCTCCAGGCCCTGGGAGCGACTGCGGGCCGGACAATCCCGGCGGGGCGGCCCCGGGGCGGCGGGCAGGCGGCGGAGCGGGACCGTGGCGCTCCCCGCCCTCGCTGCCGCCAGCTTTGGAAGGTCTGGCCGGGCGCCCGCCCCGTCCCGCCGCCTCCCGGTCTCTGTAAACTCCTCTCTGGCTTCACAGGTCCATGCTGGAGAGTGGGACAAAGGGCCATGCTGGTTGCCGTGTCCTCGGGGGCCAGAGAGTTCTGACCTTGGCCGCATGGGCTGCTGAGTGTTGGAACAATGGGGATGCGCATTTATGTATTTTTATTTATGTACATTTTATGTATTTAGTGACATTTAGAGATTTATTCCCCTGCTTCAGGTGAGCGTGCATCATTGCCGGCTTGGGATTGAGTGAAATGGCTGAGGAAACCAGCTCTGGGGAGGGAGGCAGGGAAATCCTCTCTTTACCAATTCTTCCGACAAACTCATCACGGCAGGACAGCCTGAAGACTGAAAGTGTTAGAAGATGTGGAGGGAAACAGAGAATCTGGCAGGAGCATCGAACGCACAAGTGCACGAATTTTGCTTTTTACTTGGATTTAAACTCAGAAGTTGTGAGGAATTTGGGAGTGAGAAGCGATATTTCAGAAGGAGAAGAAGAATAAGAAGTTGTTGTTACAGTCTTGGCAAAAGCTTTTGTTCTAGCTAATAAAAGAAGTCAGTTTAAATAAAAAAAAAGAAAAAAAAGTGGAGTATTTTTTTTCCTTCACTATTATATTCATTGGTGGTATATGGTGTGTTGTTTTATTTCTTGGTATTATTAACTCTGTGTAAGTTGGTTTTTGAGTGAAGCTGACTTTCTGGATGGGTTGGTTTGTATTTGAGGTAGGATTAATTTCCAGAAGTTTCTTTCATAGACTTCTGATAGGTATTACTGGCATTTTGGTTTTGTTAAATGTATGTATAAACATACAGTTTTGGTAGGGCCAGCTGGGCTGCTGGAGTTTTGGGTGTGAATTTATGAGATGGCTTTTGTTAAATGCAGTTTTTCATTTTTGAAATGTTTTTCAATGTAGTGGTTTTAAGGTGGTTTTTAAGAATTCATTGTATTGTTTTCTGTTGTTTGTAGTTGGTGTATGATAAGGGATGTGGTGTGACTTCTTGAACGCTATGGTTTTAGTGTTCCTAAGTTCTGATTTCTGTTTGGTTCTTTGGGTGTTTTTAATTTTATTGTTGTGAAGAGGGGCATTTATATGGTGGGTTTTTATAGGCAATATTTTTTAAATTTAGTTAGTGATATTTTGTAGTATTTTAATAGTTTAGATTTTTTTATTTTCATGCTTTTACTTAATTTGTAAAATTTTTTCAAATAACTTTTCCAGATTATTGGTTATTATTAGTGCATAAACGTAGAGCTTTTTTTTGTAAGTACTGTATTGGGTCAGTTGTACAGTTTTGAGTCTAGTGAGTCGGTTTGATTTAATTTTTAATGGTGTATTTGAGTTTTTTGGGTGTTTGAGATATTGGTTTAGGAGGAAGTTTATGATGAGAATGTGTGGAGGCTTTGGGCTGCTTATAGTGGGATTTAAAATTTATTTACAGTTAGGTTTATTTGAGTTTTTATTAGGGTTCAATGTTGTGGGATGTTTGTTCCGTTAGTAATAGAAATAGGTTTTGTTTTGATGTGCTGCAATGGGATGAGCGCGGGCTGCGTACAGGTGCTGACAATGGTACAGTATTGTTGTGGTTCTGATGTGTCAGGTTAATGAACTTATATGGTCTAACATATACATGAAAATAGAAATAAATATGAATTTAAAAATAAATGTGAAATTAGCATAGTAGACATAAATATAGATAACAGTTACATACATAAAAGTATAATATATGGTATATAATTGTAACATTATATATAGAGTGGAGTATAATTTATATATATTAAGAAAGATATATAAACAGAATGTAAATATAAAAAGGTTAAAATAAATTGGAGATTTTTTTCGGGTTTCTTTAGGTTATAGGCTGGTTTTTTTAATAAATAATATAAATAGAAATAATATAAAAGTAGAAATACAGATATACAAATATATAATTTATATACCAATATCTATAAATATTTAATATGAATAAATATAAGTAAAAGAAATACATAATATAAAAATAATACATCTATTATTATAATAAAAGGTATTCTCTCTAATATATATCTATAAATATAATTAATAAAAATTACAAATGTAGATGTGAATAGAATTTTAGCTATTGTTTAAATCAAGGGGTGTCCTCGGTTTTTATTTGGTTAGAGGCAGGAGTTTTATTTTAAATACTATAAGTCTTATAAAAATGTGAATCTTAAGATAGAAATATATATATAATAATTATATAAAGAGAAGTTACTAAACTATGAATATAAATTTAAATATAAACATAAGTAAAATGCAGATTTCTAATATAGAATATAAATATTATACGGCACTATAAATTATAAATAGGAATATAAATCTAAAAATATGTAAATACATTTCAAAGGAAAGGAATTTTTTTGGCTTTTATTTAAGTAGAGGCAGATGTTATTTAAAATAAAACCTAAGTGTTACAGAAGTAAAAATCTTGACAGGGGAAAAGATAATCAATATATAAAAATATGTATAAAATAGATAAAGAAGTGCTTGAATTAGATATAATATAGAATAAAAATTTATTTATAAATTGACATTGATAAAGATAAATGTGTAAGTAAGCAATATACATTTATATTTATAATGTATATTAATGTGAATGTAAATATGAAAACATAAGGATATATATATTTAAATATTTTGTAGAAGAAAGGGTTGGGGTTTTTTTGGTTCTTACTGGGTTAGAGGATGC